TCCGACCGCTCAGAGGCCGCCGGGCCGCGGGATGAAGGGACGCGGCTGCTGGGAGACGGCCTCGGTGCGCTCCTTCTGCAGCTCCGGCTGCCTGAGTAAATTTAAGAAGGGTTAGTGCTGCTCGGCCTCCGCCCGGCTCCCCGCACACTGACGCCCAGCGCTGGGCTTTGCTGCATGATCAGCCCACGCGATCCTCCGATGTGACTCGCGGCGTGGGGAGCGCGGGGAAATTCGGGAACCCCTGTCCCCGCACCCCGGCATGCGCCGTGCATTTGCAAAAGGGGCCGTGGCTAGAGATGAGGCTGTCGAATGAACCTCCGCAAAAAGGAAAAATACCACCGAGGTCTTTGGGGAGACTTGGTGGTCGTGTTTACCCCCCCCACCCCCGCTTACATTCTCTTTTGTAGTCTGGGGGGTGGGATAGGGTGGCGGGGTCGGGGGCCCCCTGTATGCCCAAGGCCCGCATGCTTCGGGAGCTGAGGCAGAGTTGCGGCTTTGCTCCCTATAGAGCCACCCGTGGGCGTCGGCTTTGCCCACTGCCATGACCCTCCTGAATAGCCAGCTGCCTGGGTTTGAGCGAGCGCCAGCCCTGAGAACGCTCACCCCTACCCCATGGCGATCCTGAATGACTGCCCCCTAGTGGCCAGGCAAGCGAGTCCCGGCGCCCTTGGCATTGCGGGGGAAACAGCTGTCTTAAGTTGGAGCCTTGCAAACTCTCCAGACTCTCTTGCCTACCGTTCCAGACGCTTGGAGATTTTGCCACGAGTGAAATTTGCTGTGTTTGTCTTGATGAGTGTTTCTGCTATACTCTGAATCTCTAGGGAAAATTAGATTCTTTAACACTGTCAACCTAAAAGACACAGGAACAGTTAATTTCACTTAACCAGAATGTATTAGAAACAGCTCCTTTTTAGAATTAACTCTGATCTGTAATAAGCTGGATTATTAACTTTTGCTCAGTTCCAGAGTTTCCTGAAATTGCAGACCCCAAGCTTCAGCACAAGAGTCATTAACTATACATAGTCTCCTCAAATCAGGATAGAGTTTTAGGGTATTTGCAGTTGTAAACGTAAAAAATTTACTTCATTGGAGCCGGGTATGGTGGCGCACGCCTGTAATCCCAGCACTTGGGAGGCTGAGGCAGGAGGATCACTGAGTTTGAGACCAGCCTGGGCTACCCATTGAGTTCCAGGTCAGTCTCAACTACATAGTGAGACCCTGTCTCAAAATCATTGGGAGCTGATGCTATGGTCTATCTTAAAACTCCTTTACAGTGAATATTGTACAAAGTATGTTTTCTGGTTTTAGACAATTGGTCTTCGTTTCTAGTTTTTATTTTGGATATAGTGTCATTTTCTTTGTGCAAAGTTTAAATGATGATTTTGCTATCAGTTTAGATGGTTTTATTCAGAGGGTGAATTTTGGAGTCGTGAAAGAAAAAAAAATATATACCAGTTAGGTGTAAAACTGTTTTCCTTCCTTCAGCCCTTAAAATGATTTTCTTTGTTGCCTTATCTGGGAGATTTGCTTCTTACTAGAGATTGGACCTAATGGCCACTTGCTCTGGTGATTGTGTTAGGAATGCACACCTTTGTCTGGAAGCATGGGTGTGACCGCAGCAGCTATACCTGGAGAGCAGTGACAGGGTGACCTTTTTGATTGCCAGGCCCCTCTAGGCCAGCCTTCCTTTTAACCTCTCCTGTCAGTGTCTGTACTGTGGGTCTGAAGATGAGCAGGCTCAGGAGGTTGGTCGAACAGGACTTGGAGAAAAGCTTGTTGCACCAGAGGGAGGAGGCCCAGGCGCCAGTGCCTTGGTCAAGAGCAGCCAGGACTCAGCCTCAGCGTTGGAGACTGTAGAGGCAAATAAGACTGGGTCCTTCAGGTACCCTGTGTGTGAGTGTGAGGCCAAGAAGGCCAGAACAGGTTTCAAAACAAGCTGAAAATAAATTTTCCAGGTTTTAAATGTTGACCTTGTGGGCTAAAGGGAAAGGAGGAAAAAAGGCTGAGCCCCAAGACACAAAAGGCCTGCTTAATCATTAGCATTGGAAGGTGGGCGCTTCCTGGCCTCTCTGCCGTGTGGGCCTTTCAACCCCAGCACAGCCTGGAAGACACTGGTCTCCTGTCTCAGATGCATTGAAGGATATTGACGCGAAGGGTCAGTCTGATGGACTCCAGTAAAATCGTGTCATACACCTAAGCCCATCTTTGTGCAGATTGGAAGAGGAGCCAGCGTGCTACCTCCTCCCAGGAGCCAGGAACTGAGGTCCTGGTGGTGAGCATTTTGGTCACAGGACTGCTGCTGGCCTATGCAAGCTCATGGCACGGACTGATACTCTGGGGCCCCACCATGTATCCGGACCTGAGTTCTTATCCTGCCAGAACACATGCCGCTAGATGAGTCCCTATCCTTCCAACGAACCCCACCTTACCCCCCAAAGAAGGAGAGGAGTGGCCTGAAAGAGGCTTCAGGAGGAGGACAGAGCCTGTTCCCAGACACTCTGTGGGCAGGACACTGCTCCTTGGCACGTTTGAATCGCCCTGCCACTTACCTAACTTTTAGTGGGCTTCTTAGCCTTTTGGATCCTTGGCTGCTTCATATAAAAAGCAGCAACATTAAACTTAGTAGTTGGTAAGGTTGCTGGGAGGTTGGAATGAGATAATATGTATTTATATGTAATCTAATGATGTGTAATCTGTGTTTCTATCTCTGCTTCACACAGAGCCTCATGAGCTACAAGGGGAAAAGTCCATTTGGGAGTCTCCTCTAAGGGCCATTCATCCCTTGGCATTGTTACCTAATCAGGCCCACTTTGCCTGCCAAACAGTGTGCTCACCGCTGAAACCATGAGTTTTGCAAAAAAAGAAAGTTCACAAGGTAGCCATGTGTGAAGAAGGAAAAAGAGATCTCAAGCCTGTGTCTCCAAGGATAAGGCTTGGTCGTATTCACGAGATGAGATGTGAGGAAAAGTGATTAGAGATTAACTAAGAGTAGGCGAAATTAGAGGGTTTATTCCAGAACTAAGAGCAGGTGAAATGTGTTAAGTCTAAAGGGTTTCAATGGCTTCTCCCTTTGCCTTTGTGTTGTGCACGTGCATGTGTGTGTGTGTGTGTAGATATGTGTGACAGTAGTGCCGCTGTTCTGGTTGGTATGTAAATTTCTGAAAGCAGAACACAGGAGCCCTGGTGTGGTGGTCTCAGCTGAGGCAAGGCCCCAGGTGCTGCTGAGATGGTCACTTTCCCCTTTGCTTGCCTACCACCTGCTTCTGTCTTTGGACCCCAACTCTGATCGGCTGCACTTTGTGCGGTGTTGAGAGCCGCGCTGAGTTTGGCAGCTCTCTGGGTGATGTGTCACAGAACTAGGGAGAGATCAAAGCAGTGGCCGCTGCATACCACTGATGACAGGTGTCTTCACAAAGGTCCCCAGCAACTCTGTGGCAAGTGTGCTGCAGCCTGCATGTGGCTGTGATAGTAGTGTCAGAAGCATGCGCGTGCCTGTGTGTGTGTGTGTGTGTGTGTTGAGGGCCTGTGGTTTTAATGAAGATTTTTTTGCCTCTTTGGAGGCTGGGACAGAAGCAGTTCTCAGAGAAGATGCCTCACAGTATTTCAGCTGAGAATTGATATAGAATATATCAAAAAAATCACAAGTGGGATCCTTTTGGGGGTAGCTTGTCAAAGTATCTGCTCTTGTGTTCTGTACATATGGTATGTGCTGGGATCCTTGGGAGGAAGAACTAAGGCCTGAAGCAAGGGACTGGCTTTCTGCTGTAATCACCTTCTGCTATGTATGTGGAACGGCCTTTCAGTGCCCTGAGGTTAACATTCACCACCTGACCCAGCCTGGTGCCCCCCGACACACCCCATCTAGCCTCACTTTGCTCCACTCGCCTGGCCAAATGTTCTTACCCTTCGCTCACATTTTAACTGGATTCAGCTTTTTAAGCCCAGTGCCCCTGCTTCCTGAAGCTGTCCTCCGAAGCTGGATCTGACAAGTCTCCCGCCAACCTCTTCTAAGGGGTCCTTCCAATGCAAGTCTTGTATTTCTCCAAGGCTGACAGCTCCACGGAGTGGAGATGGGGTTCGCCTGCTCTGAAATGCGCCCCTCGCCCCCGTCCCTAGCACTCGGTACTTCTGATGTCCCATAGCCAATCCACCACCTTCCAGGTGAATGGGACCGAGGGCCATCTGAAGACCCGTGGCAAGGAGCATCCTGAGCCAGCATTTTGTGGTCAGGGGTCCTCGGCTCCTGTTCTTCTGGGGTTTCTCCTGGTTCACAGGGACTCTCCGAGGTCAGAATTGGAGCCACGAAAAGGGTCTTTCTGCCCCTGCCCTCTCCCTTTTGGTCACAGTGTGGTGAGTGGGAATTACTGGGAAAGGTAGGAAGGGGGTCTGCCTGGCAAACCTGGAGGATGATGGAGTGCTTCCTGGAGCTGACACCCAGCTGGATGGCAGGGGATGAGGGAGAGGTGGGCAGGTGGAGGATGGGGTTGGGACGTCCCTTGAGGGGCTGGTGGGAGGTCTCGGGCCTCATGACAGATGAGAAGTAGATAGGGGTCTCGTTGGAAGGGTAGATCGGAAAGGATATCAGGCTGGGCATCTGGCTTAGCGGTTCCGCTGCCTGCCTTGCGAGCACAAGGACCTGAGTTCAATCCCCGGTACACACACAAAAAGAAAGAAAGAAAGAAAGAAAGAAAGAAAGAAAGAAAGAAAGAAAGAAAGAAAGAAAGAAAGAAAGAAAGAAAGAAAGAAAGAAAGAGAGAGAGAGAGAGAGAGAGAGAGAGAGAGAGAGAGAAAGGAGGGGGGGAAGGGAGAGGAGGGAAGGGAAAAGGGCTGAGTGAGTGATGACACCGTGCTCCTCGGGGTGGCAGCTGTTAATCCCTAGGAAGCACAGCTCCACTGGCTCTGAGGGGATTGTGTAGCTTTTGGAAAGAAGGTTTCACTGCAGCATTTGCCCCGTTGAAGTTCTCCCTGCCCCCAGTAGCCATAACCAGGGTCAGTGTGACTTCTTTCTTAGATATGTCACATGGTTGAGCCTCTGATTGTTTTTACACTAGGGGATGAGAATTCCACTTGACACGTCAACATAGGATTGGCCCCTTCTTGGCCCATGGTA